TGTCTTCTTGTTTGATGGCAGATACTCCCTTCACCCTGGCCAAAAAGGCTAAAATGACCAAAGAAAAAGTGGAAAACAGCTAAACATGAGAGGTTTTTGGACAAAGTTTGTGTTTTTTCCATTGTTTAAGCACTGCTTCCAGCCAAGAGTGATACCATATATGCTCTATAGCTGCAGAAAAGGCAAACATTGTTATCTTTTTACAAAAAAACAGCTAAACATGAGAGGTTTTTGGACAGAGTGTGTGTTCTCCACTCTTTAAGCACCAGTTCAAGCACCGGTTCGAGCACCGTTTAACCACCGGCACCGTTTCAAAAGTACCGGTTTGGTACTGGTATCGGATAAAACCTAAACGATACCCATCCCTACTCATGAATAATAAATGTGCTCAGTGTCATTCGTAGCTCCTTAGGGTGTAAAGTGTAACTTTTAGACAACAAGGTCATCCAAGTGGCCTCTCTCTGGTATGACAAACCTTCAAGGGAGGGCTTGTTGTATATGTTGTATTTTTGCAGTCATGCATATTCAAGTGAGGGACATCTGTAAGTTGCCAGATGCTTTCAGCAAGTGGACTTGTTACGTAATGCAGTCATGATGGGCAGTCACCCTAAGGGACATGTCTAGTTGCTCTCCTTCCCTTGCTGTCCGTCCTGTCCTTATAATTGGTTGGTGCCAAAGGTAGCTGTGGTGGTGACATGACAGAATTAGGCCTCCATACTGTGAGTTTGTTGTAGATTGGTTCTTACGTGTCTTTGTGTTCCAGCAATGGGTATTGTACAAGACATATAGGTTTTCCCCTTGTTCCTCATGTTTGTCTCTTTCTTCTGCAAATTCTTTCTTCATAATCCATCCTGATTCATTAGTTTCTTATCTATATAAATCTGTCTAACCTGTCATTTTTCTCTCTTCTCTCTCTCACTTTTATTTTCAAGTGTTTGTTCATCTCCATATTTCCTCTTCATTCTTTCAGTCTCTTTGACAATCACTGGCTTTCTCACATAATGTAATTGTAAACGTTATGGAGCCAATTGTCATGGTAACATACTATCCTGATTCTACCATCAAGGGGCAGGGAGAGGTCTTAATGTAGGAGAACACATTTCCCAAAGGACACTCAGTTATACA